ACGCATGTCCGACCCGACCACCCAGCACAGCATCTTGTAGAGCGGTTCCCGAACAACATGGCCAGAGAGCGCCCGCGACGGAGCTTCTGCTGTAAGGTTTCCGAGCGTCCGCGTCGCCCTGGCGTGGCCGGCGCGCACATACAGCTGGGGCACTGGCCTAAGAAACCCTAATTAAGGAACGAGGCCCCTTTTTCCCATAGGTTGAACTTCGATTCCCCATGGAAAACCTCAGGGAAACCAAAGGCAAACTGCACAACAATCAAGGAACACCGAGCCGCTCCCCAACGAAAAGGGTTCCTTCTTCAGCGCCCCGACTGTAATAGAAGCGTGTTTGGGTTGTGCCGATCTCGACGTTGGAGGCAGCACTTAGGAGGTCCTCGTATGAACGATCAAGGGCTACTAAAGTCCGATCGCGGGGGCGCTGAGCCGGCTTAGCCCAGAATGCGACAGGGATTACGTAAGCCCGATGAAGCCGGATCTGGCTGGATTCAACGGGACTGTGCTGGATTAGGCCAGTTTTCGGCCAGGGATATACCAGCGCCAATTCTTAATGTACCCTCCCAGAAACTGAATCCGAAGTCTTGATGTCAGACCTGCCTCGTAATTTTTGCGTGGTGAGATTCGTCGGCTTTCCAATCTGGCCGGGATCCGTTCTGTTGTTCCTGCTCGCTCCCGTGGCCCATGTGGGGCCCTCCTTGCCAGGCAAGGAGTTGACCAGTCTTTCCTGGATGGTCGATCCGATCCGATCTCCTGATCATTCTTCTCCTGGATATTCGTCCATCTTCTTCGTCTTCTTCTCCTCGTCCTCCTTCTCCTCTTTCGCCTTCTCCTTCTCCGCCTCCTCCATCTGCGCTTCTCCGCCCCAACAGCCGCTTCTTCGTCTTCTTCTCTTCGTTTCCCTCGGCGTTCCTCTTCCCTCCCTCTCATCTCACTCTTCCTTTCCCTTTCCCTCCCCCCTTCTCTCCCGCCCCATCCGCCTCCCCACCATCCCCTCCTCCTTCCCCGCTCGTCGGTCCTCCCTCATCATCCCCTTTTTTATTCCAAGAAGGCCCCTGGCCGAGCTCCCGAGCAAGCGTGGATGACGCTTTCGTCTCGCAAAAGTGCCGGGTAACTTGAGTGCCGACCGCTGGCCAGCGATCTCAATCTCAACTCCTGGTCTCGCTTGCTCCACGAGGTGGTACAAACACCCAATCGCCACGCGATGCACGTGCTATACACTGCCAACACATTCCATCAACTGCATTCCCTACGCCCCACTGGTGCCAGTGAGACATCACGTTTAGACAGAATTGCAGACCTGTGGCTTCCTGAAATGATGTCGCAACAATGATGCATCCAACGTGCCTCCGCTGCTGCGGGTCGCCAAGGCGTACTTCAGATGGTAATCGGCGCCCACGCTCGATTCTCGCAGTATCCTATCAAATTGATCCAAGCACTCAGCAGTGTAATCGCAATCAAACTTGAACAAGTACTCGCTCCTGATATCATACGCTGCGGGCTCGCACGTGAAGTCCAAACTACCTTCGGCCTAGCTTTACGAGCGGTCCATTTGCCTCCACCAGGGCGTGGAATAAGTCTGAGAGTTCCACGTTTATCTTGTTGCTGCGGGTGCCGGGAGCCACCGCCCGTCAAGCTGCAGCCTGCTTCCGACAGAATGCAGAAGCAAACGCACGTTCACCCACTTTCTCGCGAGAGGCTCGTCCTCAGGCTCCTTCCAAGACGATGACGTGACTTGGCTTGAACCCGCCATCGTGAGACCAGCGTTCCAGCTTCACGAGGGCACGCGTGCTGTAATGCATTGGGGTCTCATACGGAACCATCTATGCATATGTTCCCTCTCCACCGGACCGCTTCGAATGATCAGTTGTTTGTCCTGTGCACCTAACGCCTTTCAGACACACTCTTGGTATCCTCGGCCGAGTTGCCCAAGCGTGCAGTTTGAGACTTGCTGGCGACTTGCCCGCAGCATGTATTCTGATGTGTTGGCAATGCTGTTTGCAGGCGGTGTCGTCGTAATGGTGATCGGTTAGATTGCGCTGGATCTAAAAAGCTTCCCAGCGCAACGATTTGTTCCCCATATCCTAAGGATTGGGGTTCTTGTTATTACTCTGACGCCTCCCACTCCTCCTCCTGCTCCTTCTTCCTCCCGCCTCCCGCCTCCCTCCTCCCACTGATAATTACCAGATAAGATAAGACAATATAAGATACTACAATATAAGATAAGATAATACAATATATAAGACCAGATAAGATACTACAGTATAAGATAAGATAATACAATAATAGCACCGGATATGATAAGACGAGATTTCAAGATAAGATAAGATAAGTTAAGCTCACACTCACACTCTCTCATGATCACAAAACGCTGTCAGGGGCATCATTTGGGAGCCCCAAGGGGGAGCCACCCTGGCTGTTCTCACGAGCCCGTTCGCGCCGATGTTGGTGGGACGTCTCAGCTAGAATTGCCGTTTGGCGCCCCCAACATGTATCTCTTGAGAGCCTCATGGTCACAAAACGCTGCCGGGGGCATCATTTGGGAGCCCCAAAGGAGAGCCACCCTGGCTGTTCTCACGAGCCCGTTCGCGCCGATTTTGGTGGGACGTCTCAGCTAGAATTGCCGTTTGGCGCCCCCAACATGTATCTCTTGAGAGCCTCATGATCACAAAACGTTGCCAGGGGCATCATTTGGGAGCCCCAAGGGGGAGCCACCCTGGCTGATCTCACGAGCCCGTTCGCGCCGATGTTGGTGGGACGTCTCAGCTAAAATTGCCGTTTGGCCTCCCCAGCATGTCTCTCTTGAGAGCCTCATGGTCACAAAACGCTGCCAGGGGCATCATTTGGGAGCCCCAAGGGGAGCCACCCTGGCTGATCTCACGAGCCCGTTCGCGCCGATTTTGGTGGGACGTCTCAGCTAAAATTGCCGTTTGGCCTCCCCAACATGTCTCTCTTGAGAGCCTCATGGTCACAAAACGCTGCCAGGGGCATCATTTGGGAGCCCCAAGGGGGAGCCACCCTGGCTGATATCACGAGCCCGTTCGCGCCGATTTTGGTGGGACGTCTCAGCTAAAATTGCCGTTTGGCCTCCCCAACATGTCTCTCTTGAGCCTCATGGTCACAAAACGCTGCCAGGGGCATCATTTGGGAGCCCCAAGGGGGAGCCACCCTGGCTGATCTCACGAGCCCGTTCGCGCCGATTTTGGTGGGACGTCTCAGCTAAAATTGCCGCTTGGCCTCCCCAACATGTCTCTCTTGAGAGCCTCATGGTCACAAAACGCTGCCAGGGGCATCATTTGGGAGCCCCAAGGGGGGGCCACCCTGGCTGATCTCACGAGCCCGTTCGCGCCGATTTTGGTGGGACGCCTCAGCTAGAATTGCCGTTTGGCGTCCCCAACATGTATCTCTTGAGAGCCTCATGGTCCCAAAACGCTGCCAGGGGCATCATTTGGGAGCCCCAAGGGGGAGCCACCCTGGCTGATCTCACGAGTCCGTTCGCGCCGATTTTGGTGGGACGCCTCAGCTAGAATTGCCGTTTGGCCTCCCCAACATGTATCTCTTGAGAGCCTCATGGTCACAAAACGCTGCCAGGGGCATCATTTGGGGGCCCCAAGGGGGAGCCACCCTGGCTGATCTCACGAGCCCGTTCGCGCCGATTTTGGTGGGACGCCTCAGCTAGAATTGCCGTTTGGCGTCCCCAACATGTATCTCTTGAGAGCCTCATGGTCGCAAAACGCTGCCAGGGGCATCATTTGGGAGCCCCAAAGGGGGAGCCACCCTGGCTGATCTCACGAGCCCGTTCGCGCCGATTTTGGTGGGACGCCTCATCTAGAATTGCCGTTTGGCCTCCCCAACATGTCTCTCTTGAGAGCCTCATGGTCGCAAAACGCTGCCAGGGGCATCATTTGGGAGCCCCAAGGGGGTCCCCAGGCTTCCATTATTCCTCAAACGTGCCAAGTGCACATTTTGCGCCAAGAGGAGTCGAACCCGGGCCTCCTATCGCCAGATTGAGTAGAGAGAGAGGATGAGGGAGAGAGAGAGGATAGAAGAGAGAGAGAGAGGAGAAAAGGGAGGGGACTAGAGAGAGGGAGAGGATGATAGAGAGAGAGAGAGAGAGAGAGATATAGAGAACGGAGGTAGAGAGATAGAGATAGAGGAGATGGGGAGTTGAGAGAGAGACAGCGAGATAAAGGAGAATAATAATAGAAGAGATAGAGAGAGAAGAGAAGAAGAGAGAGTAGAGAAAGAGGAGAGAGAGAGAGATATAGATTAAGAAATATATAAGAGAAAGATAGCAGCGAGAACCTAGGGAGAGGAGAGTAGGTACAGAAAGGTGCGAGAGAGGGGGGTAGGGGGGGGGGAGGGAGAGAGAGAGAGAGAGAGATAGAGAAGATAGAGAGAGAGTAGAGATAGCGAACGAGAAGAGCAATAGATATATATATACGGAGAGAGAGAGAGCAGAGAGAGAGAGAGAGAGAGAGAGAGAGAGCGGGAGAGAGCGAGGGAGAGCGAGAGAGAGCGAGAGAGAGCGAGTGAGAGCGAGAGAGAGAGAGAGAGAGCGAGAGAGAGCGACATAGAGCGAGAGAGAGCAAGAGAGAGCGAGAGAGCGAAATAGAGAGAGAGAGAGAGAGAAAAGAGAGAGAGAGAGATAGAGAGAGAAAGAGAGAGAGAGAGAGATAGAGAGAGAGAGAGAAGAGAAGAGAAGAGA